GCGCAGCCTGCGGCGGCGCCCTCCGCCGCCCGGGCCCAGGAGTGCTCTCGCCTGCGAGAGACCCTGTGGAGCGAGGCGGTCCGGGGATCGCCTCTGCTCCGCGGCCTCCTGGAGCCCCAAGAGCGCCCCTGGCCTCGTGGGTCCGAGCCTGTGCAGGGCGGCACCGGTGGCCTCTTCGGAAGTTGCTGGAGTCGCCTCCGAGGCAGTGCGGCGCTCCAAGATGGGTGCAGTCGGACCTAGGCCAGAAGAACACCCCTCAAGAGCACGAGACCCTCCGTTGGCCAAGTTGCACAGAACATGAAAGGGTACGCTCCTCAGGGTGCACAAGAACATCCAACAGGCACGAAGAACACGAGGGAACCTTCCCCGAACCGACCTCGATCTTACGCCTCGAACCGACTGTTTAAGCCAAGACCTTCAGAAAGGCTTCAAGTCAATTTTCAGGACGTCACCGAGAGAAAGCAGCACAAGGTGCTTCGGTGGCCGCCCGGGACGGGCCCTAGGCTACCCCAGGCAGCCTACACGCGCGGTCAGACAGGCCCCCCTGCCACGAGACCCGAGGGCCCAGTGGCTGGCCTTTCTCATCTCTCCCCTCTCTTTTCCTTGTCTTGCTGCTCTTCTCCTCCTCCTGCTGCTTCGCATCGTCCTCCCCGTCCTCATCGTTCTCCTCCTCGTTCTCCTCCTCCTTCTCGTCATCATCCTTCCCCCCCTCTCCTCCGAAAGGGACGGTTTCTCCCAGCAACCGCTCAGGAGTTTGAGCGAGACGGCTGCTTGTGGTTGAATGTGTGTGTGTGTATGTGAGTGTGTGTGTGTGTGTCAACGTGTCGACTCCCCCTCCTCCTCCTCCTCCTCCTCCTCCTCCTCCTCCTCCTCCTTCTTCCTCCTCCTCTCTCCTCCTCCTCCTGCTCCTCCTCCTCCTGCTCCTGCTCCCTCCTCCTCCTCCTCCTGCCTCCTCCTCCTCCTCCTGCTCCTCCTCCTGCTCCTCCTTCTCATCCTCCTCTTCCTCGTTCCCTCCTCCTCCTCCTCCGTCTCCTCCTCTCTCCTTGGATATATATATATGTATGTATTTGCGTGTGTGTGTGTGTGTGCGTGTGTGTGTGACTTCCCCTCCTGTACCTCCTCCTCCTCCTCCTCCCCTCCTCCTCCTCCTCCTCCTCCTCCTCGTCCTCCTCCTCCCTCCTCCTCCTCCTCCTCCTCCTCGCCCCCCTGCTAATCCTCCCTCTTATCCCTCTCCCTCCCCTCCTCCTCCTCCTCCTCCTCTCCTCCTCCTCCTCCTCCTCCTCCTCCTCCTCCTCCTCCTCCTCCTCTTCCTCGCTCCCCCCAGAGATCCTCGGTGTGTGGCCTTCGGGCCCTAACTCGGGTTTCAGGCGGACGTCTGGGACGATCCGGACACCTCTGCACGCCGCCCTCGGCGAGGCGCAGCTGCTGGAGAGCATCCCGAGGCCGGAGAACGCTGAACACCCATGGACATATCCGGAGACCTCGGGTCCACGGTCAGGAACTTTGGTTTACATTGTCGGGATGGCGTCCCCGGCGATGCGCTATGCCTCACGAGCGGGCGCGTCGCTTTGCTCCGTGGGACGGCAGCCGAGGGAAAGTTCGGAATGTTGATGCCTGGGGACCGGGACCTGGTTGGCGTGTCGCGCCGAGGCGCGGCGGCCCAGAACGGCGGCGCGACACATGTTTTACGGCGCAGAGCGGCAGAGGCAACCCGCACGCGCGACAGCGGATAGCGCAACTCAACCTGCGGCAGGAGGAGGGGGAGACAGGCGGAAGCGGCCGCGAAGCGGGAGTGAGGGAGGGAGGCGAGGGCACTCACATGGCGAGGTGCGTCGCCGTGGAGCGGCCGGGGCGGCCAGCCAGCCCCTCCCTGGCAGCGGGCGCGGGGCGGCGTCACGGCCACACCCAGGGGCTGAAGCAGGGGCTGCAAACACCCCTTCTCCTCTCTTCTCCTTCGCTGCAAGGCGGAGCGACACGCTAACCAAAAGTTGCCGACCGTACCTCCCCCCGCCCTGTCGCCGAGGCGCAGCTGCTGGAGCGCATCCTGAGGCTGAAAAGCCGCCGAGAACCAGCGAAGACGCCCCATCCCGCGTCCCGCTGCCCCTCCCGCGCGCCCTGTGGCCCTGACGCCGCGGGGGTCTCCTGCGAGGGGGCCTTCTGTATGTGGAGCAGCACCGGCTGCTCGCTCCTCTCGGGGCAGACCAGGCCTCGACTGCCGCGGGACACGGGCCTCCTCCTGCCCATGTGCCTCCTGCTTCCTGCCCTCCCTCCTCCCTCCCTCCTCCCTCCCTCCTCCCTCCCTCCTCCCTCCCTCCTCCCTCCCCCTCCCTCCCTCCCTTCGCCATCCCCCCTCTTCCCTCTCTCTTCTTTCCTGCCTCCTCCCTCCTCCCTCCCTCTCTCCTTCCTTCTCTGCCCTTCGCCCTCCTCACTCCTTACCCACCTCCCTCCTGACTCATTCCTCCTCTGTCCTCCCTCCTCCTCCTCCTCCCTCCTGCTCCTCCTCCTCCTCCTCCTCCTCGGGCTCCTCCCCCTTCTCCGCCTCCTCCTCCTCCTTTTCCTCCTCCTTCTTCTCCTCCTCCTCCGCCTCGTCCCCCTTCTCCTCCTCCTCCTCCTTCTCCTCCTGCTTCTCCTCCTCCCCCACTTCCCATCCTCCTTCTCTTCCTCCCTCGGGAGCAGTCCCTTGGGATACTTCCCGCCGCCCGTGCTGCGCTGGCCCGCAGCTGCCCTTCTGGGCGAAGGCCCCACGCAGCAGGACGGACGCCCCGAGGAAAACCGCAACCGAACCTGAGGTTCCCTTCCTGCTTCCTCCCTCCGCCTCCTCCTCCTCCCTCCGTGTCCTCCTCCTCCTCCTCCTCCTCCTCCTCCTCCTCCTCCTCCTTCCCCCCTCCTCCCTCCCTCTCTGCCCTCGTGCCATGAAACATCACGGCGCGAGATCTTTCGCTAGTTTCGGCCCCCGGAGGCCCTTACCCTCGGGACCGTGAGCAAAAACCCGACGCCGGATGAACAACCGGCCCCGGGGAAGGGAGTCCAGACCGCTGGGGGTCCACGTCGTGAGAGAATCGCGGCGTCGGAGTGCCGGGTCTTCCCTGCTCCTCCATCTCTGCGGGTATGCACAACCCCTCGCTGTCGCAAGATCAGGGCGGGGCCAGGCGTCTCGCCCGAGACCTCCCCATCAGGTACAATCCTGGCGCTTGCATGTTGCAGCAGCTTCGCGGATGGAGGGCGGGCCATTCTCAGAGGTGGCGTTCGCCTCGGCGCCGAGGGCACAGTCGTGTGCAGACTTTTTGCGCCAAGTGCGCGCCTGGAGGGCGGGCTGTTTGAAGCGTGTGGCTCTCGCCTTGGCGCCGCGCACGCTCGTCTTGCAAGTTCGCAAGAGTCTCACGGATGGGTGGCGGCTCGGTTTTCAGAATATCGTTCTCGCCTGCGCGCCGCGCGCATTCGTCTTTGAAAATTTGAAGCGGTTTCGAGGATTCGCATGGTTGATGTCCCGGGTATACATGCTGTTCTGACACGATTTTGAATCGCCAGGACTCAGCAGTTAGCTTGATTCGCGGCGTTGAAGTTCCACGAGTAGCACACTGGCACGGTTTAGGATCTCAACAGACGCGTTGATTTGCGGCACTCAACCAAGAAAGCTGTTTTGGCACCATTTGAAAACTGTCAGACGTTTATCTGCCAATGGGGCATTTCCCGCAATGAAGAAAACTATATTGCAGGGACCTCTGAAGAGGGAACTTGGAGGAAGGGCTTCGCTGCAATATCGTTGATGCTCCTTAGGTTTACACTGGTCCTCGTCCTCGTCGACCTCGCACATATGCGCGTCGTCCAACTCTTCCTCCTCCTTCTCCTCCTCTTCCTCCTCTTTCTTCTCCTCCTCCTCCTGTGGGGAGTCGGAGGGGCAGCAGGAGGAGAGAGACAAGCAATTTGACGCTAGTTGCTCGCTTTGTTGGGGCCGCCTGGGGTGTACTCGTGTGGCCCCGGCTGGCTGGGCGCGGCTGTCCGCGGGTGAATGGTGGTGAATGCGGGTGTCCGCCACCAGGTGTGGTCAAGGGATGCTGAATGGACAATTCATGGCTCATGTCTCGCCCATTCAAGTGCTTCGGTACGGTTGGCATCCACCCTTCGTGGGCATATCGGGGCGATAATGCTGCGATCGAGCGTTGTCCGATGGCGGTAACGCATCGCCCAGCCATCGTCTCTGGCACAAGCACCAGGAAGCCGGCGCGTTGCAAAACGCAACATGTGAATTTGTGTGAAAACGCAATGTATGAATTCACATCCTGGTAGAACTCAAGATGTGAATTCGAAATTTGAAGGTCGCAAGGCGTGAATTCACATGTTTAAGTTTTAGTGCTCTTGTTGATTAGCAGGCCGACGCTGAGAAGTCAAGGTTGGCTCAAACTATGAATCGACACAACATGTGGAATCATACTTCGGTGAGAAAAAACTTAAGGGCGAAGTCACATTGTGGACACGCACACCAACATCCCAATGCACTCCGGGTGATGGCCCGCGACGCAGCAAGGCGGGCAACGATGGCTAGGCGATGCGTTTCCGCTCACGGACAATTCTGTACCGCTTTAATCCTCAATGCGCCCATCAGTACGTAGTGGATGCCAACATACCGGAGCATTTGAATGGGTGATTGCTAAAGCTATGAATGGATTATTTAACACCCACAATGGAAAACACCCTGTGGCGGACACCTGGATTCACCCTCTGAGAAACGATGGTCAGGAAGGTGTCCGGGAAGGGGCTAGAAACTGAGGAACAAGACAAGGGAAAAATTCGGCCAGCCGGAAGTCGGCCAGGCTGAACTCGGCCAGGCTTAGCTTTCAAGGCGAAACTCGGCTCGGGCCGAATTCCGCATGGCCAGGTTGAGCTAAGCCTGGCCAAGTTTAGCTGGCCAGTTTGAGCTTGGCCTTAGTTGTTCCTGGCCGAGTTTACGTCCTTCCCAGAAGGCTGCTTGAGGGAACCCCGCTCTCCAGGACGGTGACCTCTTTCCAACGACGTGCGAACGGCAACCTTGCAACGACTCCGCTCCGCTCTCGAATTATCCTGTCCCTGTAAAGGGAAATTGCGCCATGCGCCCGCAGCCCGCGAGCAACTCATCGGCCCGAACCCGAAGCTTCCGCGCGGCGCTCGCACAGGGAGCAGCTCGGAGGGCTGGCAGGACGAGGTGAAGTTAGTCCAAAAAGGTTTTCCCAAAACAGTGCTTGCCCTCATGGGTTCTTACTTCTGTTCTAAGGAACTGGGCATGGCTGCCGGTCTGGCGGCTCCGTGCTTGGCGTCGCCGCCCCGTCGCCGCCTCGTCGCCGCCCGTCTCATGAGCCTGGTTGCTGCACCACGTCGGTTGCACCACATTGATTTTACCAAATAGACTTCAACCCATAGGTTGCACAACATATTTCGCACCGCGTATATTGCACCACATTGACCCCCCCCCAGGTTTATCGGTCCACCTTTTCGTACTGCAATGTGCTTACGATTCTGCCCCATCGTCCACCTGAACTACGAATTCATACTATCCCGGCCGAGCCGGAATCGACCCCCCCCTCCCGCCATCCTCGGGAAAAAAAAATTGTGCGCGCGCACCCGTTGATCACAAATCATAAGTTATCACGAACCGCTTGCAAATAACAAGCTAATTGCACACGCGCGCGTGGTCGCGCGCGCATGCCGAAAGCCTTCAAAAACCTTAGGTTCCAGAGAGAATTCAAACCAGCCGCCCAAACACCATGTAAAAGAACACATGGTGTCGCAACACGGATATCCCAAACAAGAACAACTATTTCTTTTGTTTTGTCCCAAAGAAAAAACTACGCGCGTGCTCTTGGGAATTCTTCAGAAGACAGACACTTTTTCAACATGTTCATAAAATGCTACCAAACGGGCTTTGCGCGCGCATGTCGAAATCGTTCGAATACCTTTGCGCGCGAGCCGTCGCGATAATCCTTTGCAAAAAGTGGACGATGTGCGCGCGCGCGCGTCGTCGCGCGCGCATGCCGCAATCCTTGAAAAACTGTTCTGGTTTCGTAACGGTTTCAAAACAGAATGTCGAAACAACACTAACCAAAACAAAACAAGGTTTCGCAACATCAGCTGCCCAAAAAACTTGCGCGCGCTCTTGCGAACGTTTCAACATCTTCATGCGATTCTGCAAAACGAGCCTCTGGCGGCGCGTGCTGGGGGGGGGGCGCGATCCGTGTCAAATCAAACCATGCGGGGCACACTCGCGCGTCGACCGCGCACGCATGTCGAACGCTTTCCAAAAGCTTCGTCGCCGACGCGAGGACGCCGTCATCGTCGTCGGCGTGATCAGCATTGCCGCCCGCACCGGCCACGCCTTCATCGGTGCGAACATCGTCACCAGCATTGCAACTATCATCATCGCGTCTACCGAAGTCGGCGTGCCATGATACCGCGCCCGCCAAAGTCGCCGACTCGCAGGGAGGCGAGCATGCATCGCAATCGCCACCGCATGGCTTTTGCAAACCAAGTTGCGGGTGGGCGGGTGGGATGTTTGCAAGAGCGTGGGATGTGTCAACTCATGGGTAAAAACCATTGCACTACATAGATTGTACAAGATAGTATGCACCACAAATGTGGTATCACGTCGATTGCACCGCACAGATCGCGCGCCACAAAGATTGCACCCCACATATCGTTCCACGTCGACTGCGTCACATATATTACGCACAGATATTACACAACGTAGATTACACCACATGAAATTCTGCACCACGTAGATTGCGCACAGCATAGGTTGCACCGCATCCCATCTGTATTACACCACATAGCTTGCAACACAGAGTTTGCACTACATAGATTGTTCCACATGTACTGCACTGCAGATTTGACCAGAAACGCACTGTCTGGGTCCGCGCTGGCCAACAGTTCTTACAAACCAAATCTCTGGGGCCCAGAACAATACATGTATGAGCGGTCCAAGATCGCTGGAGCCACATCTTCGATCATGCGACTTATGGCAGGCAGCGGATACTGAGACGCCGCGATTCCGTAGCCGCCGCGGCCGTGGGGGGGGAGAATAATGAATCTTTCGCCGCCGGGAGCGCCGTGCCCCCCCCGAGAGAAGACGGGATGAAGGTCCTCTCTTCACAACTCTGGGGCTAACATTACCCCGACGTCGTGATGTGTCTCAAAACATCGGCCTCCAAAAGCACCGACCCCTGCGCCGCGACCCATTCTTCGTCCCGCGTCGTCTCTTGACGGCCCCGGGCCCCCCGGCAAGGGCACCTGGAGGACGAAGATCGCCGAAATCCGCCCGCCGTCACGTGCTCACGGCGCGAGGACGCAGATTGGCCCGGGCTTCGGGGCCACAAGGTCGGCCACCTGACCTATCCCGGGGCCGTGCTGCGGACCGCACTTCACCTGGGCAGGTCGGCCGTGGTGGCGAGGAGCTGCCCAAACGGGCGACGCAGCTCCAGCACGAGGAGGACGAGGAGGAGGAGGAGGAGACTCAACTCTTGCTGACGACGGGCGACGCGTCCATGGCCTCCAGCACCGCCGCCCAGTCCTCGCCGGGATCCTGCACGTCCTCCAGAGTCCAGCTGTCCACGGAGTACGACTTTCCGTCGCACTCGCCATGGGCAACCTTGTAGGTCCCGTAGCTCTCCTGCCCCTCCTGGCCGGGGTCGACCTTGCAGCCGCCCTCCTCCTCGTCCAGGACGCCGTCAAGCCACGGCTCGTCGGTGCTCCACCACGTCGACTGCACGGTCATGCCAGCTGACAGCATGCCCGCGAACGTGTCAAGGTCGTCCTGCCCGTACACGCAGCCCGCCTTGCTGAAGCAATTGTCGCACTCGCGGGTGCAATCCATCCCCTCGCGCTCCCGCTTCTTGTTCACGCGCCACTCGATCGCCTGATCTTTCCCGTCCTGGTAGAGCATCACGACGAAGTCGACCAGGCTGCCGTCAGGGCCCTTGGGGAAAGAGATGGCCACGTTGAACGGGCTCTCGGTGTCGACGATACTGCCCCCAGGCCCGTAGTGGGCCCCAGACATGTCTCGCGGGCCAGCACCGTACGTCATGTCCTCTTGCTGCATGCCGCCGAAGCCGCCCTGCTGGCCTGGGTGGTCCAGCTTGTTGTGCAGCGTGGAATGCCACGAGTGCTTATTGCCCTCGAACAAGTCGATCTCTCCGCACCTCTCCACCTGTACGGCCGTCCGCAGCAACAACAAAACCGAAAACCAGCCAAACCGACAGCGGGACCGAAACCGATCGAACGCTGAGAGGACGACGACGAGCGTAGGAAGGAGGACGGGGGAAGGGCAAAGCAGTGACTTCCAGCCCCGAGATTAGCAGATGGCTCTGGATGGCATGTAGGTTCGCTGGCTAGTGTTAGGTTCGTGAATTGCGACTACAGGCGGTCCACGACCACTTCGGGCCAAAAAACCCAAACCCAACAAAAAATATCAGGAACTCTTGAAACCAAAACCTGGGGAGGTCGACATCCTGAAAAACAACTCAAACACCGAACCTGCGAAAAACTCAAACCACAAAAACATAGAAAAAACTGAATCTCAAACCTGGGAAAACAAAAAACTCAAACTAAACAACAACTCCAGATCATCTCTAAGCCGAAACCTGGGAAACAACTCTGGGAAAAACTCTGGGAACTCTGGAAAAAACTCTGGAACAACTCTAAAAACTCTTAAAACAACTCTAAAAAAACTCGGGAACAACTCTAAACGACTGGAAACTCTTAAACAACTCTGGAAACAACTCAAACAACTCTAAACGCTTGAAAACTCTTACAACAACTGTCTAACAAAAAAGCACAACCTTCCGGGTTTGAGTTTTGTTTCTGGGTTTCAGCTTCAGGTGTTTCTAAGTTGTTTGTGGGTTGATTTCTTTTTCCCAGGTTTCGGCTTCAAGCTTTTCTGTAGTTTCTTCTGCTTTTGAGTTTTCCCCAGGTTTTGTGTTTGAGATTTTCTCAGGTTGTCTTGGATTTTGAGTTTCCCATTCAAGATTATTTGTTTTTGGAGTTTGAGTTTCCGGCCGAAGATGTTTTGAAGATTTCGGCAGGTTTTCCGATGGACCGCCTGTAGTCAATTCACGAACCGAAGGCTAGCGGAGCGCTCATGAACCGAGACCGACACGCCACAAGCAGCCTGGAAGCGCGCAACGTCGCAACGACATGACAGCAGACTGAACCGCGCCGACTGCGCTCAGCTGACCGCGGCGCGGCCGAGCCGACCGAGACCCCTTCGCTGATGCCCCCCGACCTTCCCGGGCCAGGAGCCGCTTGCGTCGCAGTACGGCTCCTGCGGGCCCTCGTAGAGGAAGAAGCCCGCGACGCAGCCGCAGCCCACCTGGCTGACGTCCACCCTGGCGCGCAGCGTCTTGCCCAGCAACACCGCGGCCCTGCTGTCGCTCAGGTGCCCGTCGTTCGTGTTGGCCTCGGCCCACGGGAGCTGCTCGGCGCCGGCCGGGGCCTCCGTCGGAGCCACGGGCCGCCTGCGCTTCGCTGGCGCTGCCGCCTCCTTGCTGCGCCCCGCGGCAGCGGGCCCGTGCGCCGCGTGACCTGCGCGCCCGCTGTGCTGCAGGGAGCAAGGAGAGCACACGCACGGCGGGGTTCACACGCAGAGCGTCCGGCCACGCGCTGGGACACACGCGCGGGAGCCCGGCCTGCACGGCCACTTGGAGGCCGAGCGCCCGAAAAGGCATCTCGCCGCATGTGTGTCCAGCTCTCGCCCCAGGCGGGGCGGCGCGTCGTGTGTGTGTATGTACAATCTACTTTCCTGGCACGCCGGGGATGTATCCCCCCACGCATCGAGCGAATGCTGTAACGGCGCTTCCAATCAAAATGCGCAAGCACTGCGGCAGCGGATAATTTCACAGATTGCTGGATGCCTGGCGCGACCTGCACATGGCTCAATGGTGCACCCACGGAGGCAACGGACGGTCTGGCAGATTGCGGACTGCCTGATGCAACCAACATTGCAGCCTATCGCAACAGTGCACGCACTGAGGCAGAGGAAGATTTGGTAGACTGCGGGGTGCCAGGGCAACCTGTGACTCAGCCTATGGCGCAACCTCGGCGGTGTGGCACCCACGTCCACAAACTTGAAGACGTGCCCAGAGGAACTCGCGGGGTACTGCACACGCCCCCCGACAGCGGGAGCTGTCCACATCCAACGCTCTGCACGACCCGGTGGCAACTCCTGCAGTCGGCGGAGGAAGAATGCACCCCAGGCGTGGACACACGCGACCCTCAGCGGAGGCCACCGCGGGAGCCGGCGCAGCCGCGGAGGGCGCGGGGCCAGACGCCGCTGCAACCGCGAGCGCCACCGAGCCGCTCACGACGGAGCCGTCGGCCTCGGAGCTTCCCAGCGAGGACTTGAGCCAGCACTCGCCAGATCCCTGCGGGGGGAGGAGGGAGGTACCGATACCGCTACTCCCCCGAGCTCTCCATGGGAGCATGCTGATCAGGATTCTGAGACGAATGCAGCCGCGGCGCCGAAGGACGGACAGCGGTATCGGTAATCTTATGTTCCTCTTCTGACCTTCACCCAGGTATAACCCCTGCAGTCGGACTCCTGCAGGCAGCTCGCGCAGCAGTCCTCGGCGGACCCCGTCACGGCGGCCGTCTCCGCCAAGTTGCTGCCACCGTTGTTCGTGCCGTCCTGGCAGGGCCAGGGGCTGCGCACAGGGGCAGCCCCCAGAGGCAGTCTGGGCTGGCGGCCAATCTCGAAAGGATGGGTTGGCCAGGTCGGTCTTGGCACTCTGGCGGCGCCTCCCTGGGCGTTCCCAAGTTGTGGGGTTTGAGACCGCCCCGGGCTATGGAGGAGGCCAGCCTGGGACACCTCTGGGAGCTGTCTGCTAGCAGCAGCCAACCCAATCCACAGACCCCCGACGTCGTCCCCCAGAAGCGGTGTCTTGCAATCTATGCGGCACAATGCGGTGCAATCGGGATGGTGCAACCCATGTGGTGCAATCCAATAAGACGACGCAAAGAAATACAACGCAATGCACAGCAATGCAAAACAATGCATTGCGATGCAACGCAATGCAAAGCCATGCACAGCAAGTCAAAGCAACACAATGCGATGCAAATCAACGCAAGGCAAGGCAACGCGATGGTCCCAACGGCGACGGCGGCGACGGGCGGCGACGAGCTGGTCGGACCGACACCAGGATCCACTTCCGTTCGAGCAGAAGTAAGGACCCCTGAGTGCAAGCATCTTTGGGGGAAGGCTGCCCAGAGCATCTCCTTGGCGGCCGGCGAGTGCCCCCTGGGAGGCCGAGCGTAGAATCAAGACACCTCCGGCGTGGCGCCGCGAGGGGGCCTGGGAGGGGGCCCCGAGCCCTGCCCTGCTGTCCTGCGGCCCCGTGCAGGACGAGGCCTCCAGCAGGCCAACACGGCCCTCGGAGGCCCTCGAAGCGGCGCCCCCGGCCGCCCCGCGCAGCGACAGCGCTGCGGCGAGCGCAGCGAGCGCCACTGCCAGCACGCCCGCCAGCGCGGCCGGGCGAGCGCCTCGCGCTGGCGCGGACCCCCCTCGCCGCTCGGGCAGCAGCGGGGATGGCTCCTCCAGGTCGGAGGCCTCGACCGCCGCCATCTGGGCAGGGATGGTGGGCTTGTTCTCCACCGCCGCCACCAAAAGTTCGGAGGAGCAGGGGGTCCTCCTCCTCCTCCTCCTCCTCCTCCTCCTCCTTCTTCTTCCCTCCTCCGACTCACGGTGGTGGTGGAAAACGGGCCCATCAAGGGAGGGGGAGATCGCGGGCACTGCCGACCCGGCGTCCGGCAGCGGCCCCTCGGCCCAAACGGCAGGCAGCGGAAGGCTCGCGCCGAGGACGGCGCGCGAGCGCGGGCTTCCGTCACCGCGTGGGTCGCTCGACCTCGGGGCGATCGCGGCGCTCCGCCCGCGCAGGTCGCTCGACAGTGGCCGACTCCCGGCAACTGGCGGCGCTCAACCTTGAAAGCCATCGCTGGCTTCGGCGCAGCGCTGACGCGGCGCGATGCTGCTGCACGGCCTGGGGGAGGAGGAAGAGGATCGGCAAGGGGAGAGAGGGGGCACTGGCTCTGGCTCTGCAAAATTCTGGGCTGGTGGTAGGTTTTGGACATTTTCTGGAGGGCTCTCCTTGCCTTCTCTTCCCCGTTGTTCCGCTGCTGCTGCTCCGCCGCCCCTGCTTCGATTGTTATTAGTATTAGTATTAATTTCCTGTTTCTTCTTCTTATGCTTTCCTGCTTCTCTTCCTGCTGAAGCCCTTCCTTCCTCTCGCCGTGCTCACTCCTTCGTGGCCCAAGGAGAATAATAACGTCCAAGCGTGAAACCTCGACCCTTGAATATCGCTGCTCCACCCTCGATCGATCGATCGACGACGTCCTCAGAACTCTGAAGTCGCGATATTTCAATACGAGGCCGACTCCAGAAAACCCTGGACCCAAATATGTTGACGTCTTAAGAAGAAAACCACGCCATAAACATAAACTGTTGTCGCTCCGCGCGGATTTCTTGGATCTGCGCTAGACCCCCCTCCCTGGCGCGCGGAGCGCGCCAGGGGCGGCGCCGCAGACTCCGCGGGGGGGTGGGGGGTCCCAGGCGCCGTTCCAAGGAATCCGCGCGGAGCGTCAAAAGCTTATGTTTATGGCGTGTTCTCTTCTTCGCGTCTCGCGCGCGACAAACAGCGATTATACGTCAGATCTGCAATTCAACAACGACGCGCAGCGGCCAAGCAACAACCACGACATACGACAACAGCAGGGCGGCAACAGGAACGATGTCGAGCGCCGTGCCATGATTCGGGCAAGCCTCGTGGAATGCAATCGTGGACGCGCAGTAGTTTATAGAGGGGTCGGCAGATGTGGCGTAAGCCTACAGAATCATGCGCTTCCCTCCGCAGCCTGCTTCCGCCGACGGGACCGCCGCCGTGCGGCCTCCGATCTGGCCTCCGCCAGCCTGCCGCGCAGGCCTCCGCGCAGAGCGCGCGAGGCCGCGCCGAAGGCGGGCCCCCCCTCCCTGGAGCGCCCCCAGGTAGCTCCCCGACCCGAGGCTCCTCTTCCTCCTCCTCTCCCTCCTCCTCCTCCTCCTCCTCCTCTTCCTCCTCCTCCTCCTCCAGCTCCTCCTCCTACTCTTCCTCCTCCTCCTCATCCTCCTCCTCCTCC